GACTTCATGACTAAAACACTAAAAGCATTGGCAACAAAAGCCAAAGTAGACAAATGGGATCTAATTAAACTCCAGAGCTTCTGTACAGCAAAAGAAACAATCATTAGAGTGAATTGGCAACCAACAGAATGGGCAAAAATTTTTGCAAGCTACCCATCTGACAAAGGGCTAATATCCAGAATCTAGAAAGAACTAAAACAGATTTACAAGAAAAAAACAAACAAACCCATTCAAAAGTGGGCAAAGGACATGAACAGACACTTTTCAAAAGAAGACATATATGAGGCCAACAAACACATGAAAAAATGCTCATCATCACTGGTCATTAGAGAAGTACAAATCAAAACCACATTGAGATACCACCTCATGCCAGTTAGAATGGCGATCACTAAAAAATCTGGAGACAACAGATGCTGGGGAGGATGTGGAGAAATAGGAACACTTTACACTGCTGGTGAGAGTGTAAATTAGTTCAACCATTGTGGAAGAGAGTGTGGCACTTCCTCAAGGACCTAGAAATAGAAATTCCATTTGACTCAGCAATCCCATTACTGGGTATATACCAAAAGGATTATAAATAATGCTATTATAAAGACACATGCACACATATGTTCATTGCAGCACTGTTTACAATAGCATAACCTGGAACCAACCCAAGTGCCCATCGATGATAGACTGGACAAGGAAAATTGTGGCACATATACACTGTGGATTACTATGCAGCCATAAAAACGATGAGTTTGTGTCCTTTGTAGGGACACGGATGAATCTGGAAACCATCATTCTCAGCAAAATGACACAAGAACAGAAAATCAAATAACACATGTTCTCACTCATAGGTGGCTATAGATCAATGAGAACACATGGATACAGGGAGGGGAGCATAACACACTGGGGTCTGTTGTAGGGGGATAGGGAAGGGACAGTGTGGGGTAGGGAGGTTGGGGAGGGATAACATGGGGAGAAATGCCAGACATAGGTGACAGAGGGATGGAGGCAGCAAATCACATTGACATGTATGTACCTATACAATAAACAGTCCTGCATGATCTGCACATGTACGCCAGAACCTGAAGTGCAATTAAAAAAAAAAAACAAAAACACAACCCAGCCACAAGTCGACAAATACTGCATGATTTCTCTTGTACAAGGTATCTAAAATAGTTAAATTTACAGAAACAGAGAGTAGAATGGTAGTTGCCAGGGACTTGGAGGGAAAGAAAAATAGAGTTGTTCACAAGTAGATAGTTATGAAAGATGAGTAAGTTTAGAGATCCTCTGTAAAGTTTGGTGCATACAGTTTACAATACTGTATTGTGCACTTAAAAATTTGCCAAGAGGGAATCTCATGTGAAGTGTTTTTATCACAATAATAAGAAAACTATCCAAACTTTGCCCCTGCCTTTTTCATAAAGTTGTGATGGGGGATCCAGTGATGGTTTAATTCTCCTGACATTTTTGAAAAACTATAAAGTACAATAAAACTACTTGGTTTCTATTTTTATTGCTATTTTAATACTGTTTAATACTGATGGAAAGCTTATAATTCAGAATTTTCTGTTTGATTACTGCACTTTGCCTTTTTAATGATCACTCATGGTAACTGACGGAACTATTCAGGAAAACAGTATAATGTATTGATTGCCATCAGTTAATCAAACAACTATTTGCTAAGCTCCTATTGTGTATCCAGTGTATCTAGACACTGTGGAAAAATGAAAACACTGTACTAAATAGACCTCATTCTTGTCTTGAAGCAGTTAAACAGTCTATTTAGGGAAATGAAACTAGCATATAGAAGATAATTAGCAAGCAATGAAATAGTAATGAACCAGTAATAAGCAGGCTCAGAGACCAGTTGGAGTTTGGAGAAGAGAAAGACCCTGGAGGTGTGAGTGTTTCTCAAAATCTTCCTGGAAAAAGTGGAACCTCGAAGAGTTAAGAAGAGCTGGCTAACCAGATAGGAGAAAGGTGAATCCAATGGCTATGGGTACTCTTTGGTAGTTGGTACTATCCTGCTTTTTAGACTTTCCAAAACAATAAGGGCTTTCTTGATTTAGTTGCCAATCATTAGAAAGTATGTGGCTTGAAAGCAGAATTCCTTCTCTATCCTGGAAGGTGATTTCTCCCAACCTGTAAGGTTTCCTTGGTATAGGCTTATTCATGACCTTGGCCCATTTAAGAGTACAGGATGTTTTATAGGATCTTTGAAGGCAGCATTTTTTCTGACAGGAGTTTATCTCTGATACAGAAGATGATCACCAGAAATTGACATTGTTTTATGTCTTCAGAAGATGTGCAGTTATTTAGTAGATTTACCTAGAGATATGCATCAATCAACAACTAAATTAATTGGCATTCTTTTCTCATAGTGTTTTTTGCTTTTTTCCTTCAACAGTTCCTTAATGCAGTGTTTCTCAGTGTGGTCTTTGGGCCACCTACACCAGAATCCACTACATGTGCTGGTTAAAAATGTACAGGTTCTTGAAACGCATCCGATCCTCCTGAATCAATCCTTGGAAGAGGGCTCAAGAATAGGCAATCATGCAAGCCTTCCAGATGAGGTTTTGCACACTAATGCTTAAGAATCATGCCTTAGTGCTTGGTGAGTTTATAAATACTCTGATACCTGCTGTTCCCCTCCCAAATCCCTCAATGAAATAGAATCTCTGAGGTTGGGACTCAGTCAACAGTGTTTTTAAGCCTCTGAGGTGATTGCCATGTACAGCTAAGGTTGATGACCACCAGCATACAGGAGTTCTTTTCAAGCTTTAATGTATATATGAACCATCTGGGGATCTTATTAAAATATGATTCTGATTTAGGAAGTCTGAACTAAGGTTTTAAATTTTCTATTTTTAATTACTTCTTAGATGATTTTGATGCTGCCAGTCCATGAACCACAATTTGAGTAGCAAGGGCTTAGAAAAAATACACTTAACTGTTTAATTGTCCCATTCTTGATTGACACATCTTCTGCATGACTTACAGATGATTGAACCTAATACCACATTAACTAATTTATGACATAGAGAAAGCTCCATCCCAAAGGATCATAGTTTCATTGACCCATTGTGAAGAGAGAAGTGTTTTTGAAAGTTAAGGTTTAAATGAAAAAGTCTTCCCCAAACTGTCAGTGAGCCAATAGGGGCAGGGAGTCAAGCAGGAAGACAGGTTGGAGCAATTGAACAGGGTAGTTGAAAAGAAACACAGCCTCCATAGATGGGTGAAAAGCAGCCAGGGTGACTGACCACAAGGGCATCTTCCAGCAAAGGACAGGTAGAGTTTTCATGTTAAGTGAGCCAGGCAGGAATGAGGTCATACCTGCTGCTCTATACATCCAAAGTTATGAATGGATGGATGGGTATTGAGAGGAGCATCACTTCAAATACACCACACACACACACACACACACACACACACACACACATTTACACACACACTGTGATAGTTAATTTTCTGGGTCAACTTGGTTAAGCTACAGTGCCCAGCTGTTTGGACAAACACCAGCCAGAATGTTGCTGTGAAGGTAACTTTAGATCAGTAGCCATGGAGTAAAGCAGATGTCCCTCCACAATACAATGGGCCTCCTCCAATTAGTTACAGGCCTAACAAGCCAGAACTGAGATTTCTTGAAAAAAGAAGCAATCCTGACTCAATACTGCGTCATAGAAACCCTGCCTGAGTTTCCAGCCTGCAGATTTTTGACTCAGGACTGCAACATCAACTCTTCTTTGAATTTTTGGCCTGTCGCATGCTCCATAAATTTCAGACTTGCCAGCTTCCACAATCGTGTGATCAATTCCTTAAAATAAATCTCTCTCTCTCTTTCTCTCTGTCTGCCTCTGTTTGTCTGTCTCTATCTCCATCTTTCCCTCCTCTATTGGTTCCATTCCTCTGCACAGCCCTGACTGATACACCCTCCCACCACAAGCACATACACACACACACCTCTCCTTCCTCTTCCTTCTTGCTTACAAACTTTTGCTAGCTTCCCCCCAAAATAGAGTTCCTTTTAAACTTCTTATTCTGGCCAAGAATACCCAAATCTCTAATCTGAACTCATCTCTTTTCACTATAAACTGGCCTTCTCTATGTACCTCAAGCATGCCAGCTCATTCCTGCTTAAGGCCTTTGCCTTGCGGTTTCTTGTGAGATGCTTCTCCTAGTTCATGGCAAAAGGGCCCTCTGCTTTCTTCCAGAACTGAGCTTAGATGCCATCTCTTTAGTGGAGACTTCTCTGATTGGTTTCTTCCATTCCATCCCAAGCAATGCATTCTCTATTACAACATCATATCATGTTTTGTTGTCTTTATAGAACTTACTATCTGGAATTCCTACTGATTTATTACTTTACTTTTTAATTTGTATGTCTTGCCCCTCACCTCCCATATAGGCTACATGAGGGTAAGGGCCTGGGCTATCTTGTTCACAGCTGGAAGCCCAGTACCTAGAACAGTGCCTGGTATATGTTGGTTGATCTGCCAGTGTTCTTGAAGGAATGAATGGCAGTCTGTAAAACCATCTGGAGGAAAGGACTCAGAGTCTGTTGGGGTGGTTATTTAAAACGTGAATTCCTGTGTTCCAGCCTAGAATCTGTGTTGGTAGTTTTAGATTGTGAAACAAAGTCCTAAAATGTGTGTTCCTTTCTTGATTGAATTTTCTTGGATAACAGCTATGGGTTGAGGACTTCTTTTAGAAAGATACTCTTTCACAAAAATAGAATATATTTCCCTTGGCTTTTGAGTGAACGTGCATCTTGAGGTATCTCTTAAACCATGACATCACCTCAGATCACACTGCTGATCTACTAAAACAATATTTCTGGGTATTAGTTCCAGTAATCTCTATTTCTTACAAGATCTCCAGGTGTTGCTGGTAAGTATCCAATTTTGTGCAGCTCCAGAGAATGAAGGACTCATGATTAAAATTGGTGAGACACAAAGCAATCATTGATGTGACTTCCCCACATGCAGATAGATAAAAGCTTGTGAATAACGTGCCATATCTGATGGATGTATTTTGGGGGCAAGCGACAACAACAAAAACAAAATCTGATTAACAGTAGATTAAACAATAGGTGCTATTTTTGCCTCTCATTACAAGAAATCTTGAGTTAGGTGTTTGCTGGCGTTGGGTCAGTAGCTCTGCCAAGCCATGAAGGATCCAGGTGATTTCTCCCTTTATCTTTCATCATCCTCACATGCTTGCTTTCTTCTCATGCTTACAACTCCATGTTTGCATAAAGTCGACACAGTTTCAGGCGTCACATTCACATGCAAGGCAAGATGAAGTGTCAAGGGCTCCTCTCTTTATCTGGAAAGAAAAATATCAGGAATTCCCTCAGAATACTTTTTGTTTTTCCTTGGCCACAACTTGGCATTTTACACTAGAGGCAAGAAAGTCTGGGGACAAGAGTAGATAGCTCTCCCTCTCCGGACTTCATAGTGGCAGGTGTCCAATGAGAAGGGGATTGGAAATAATTTTTCATTGGCCAAGGAAGAGCATCTACCACGTGTATCTGTGGTGGGAACATTGTGTAGCCCAGATAATGTCCAAGAGGGAGACATCTACCCTCTTTTTTTCTAATTTTAATTTTTATGTTATTTTACTTTAGGTGCACACTATATCTGTCATTTCTCCCCATGTTATCCCTCCCCTCCGCTGTCTCTCCCCTACATCCCCCAACTGCCCCCAGTGTGTGATGCTCCTTTTCCTACGTTCTTTTGTTCCATTCAGTCTTTGCTTTTTTAGGATTTTTTTTCTTCACCTAGAGAATTTTCCCCAAGTGACTGATTCTTACTTCCAAATTCTTCATTTACTTTTGGTGGTAACAACAATTCACTATGTTCCAGACATTCTCTATAAGATGTGTGGGCTGTGTGTGTGTGTGTGTGTGCACACGCGTGTGTGTTTGTATAATCTAAGTGGAACATGACCCATATGTCCCTTAAGCTACTTAAACCTTCCTTAGATGATCAAATGGCCTTTTCCTTTGATTTAATATACATAGTTCAAGTTGGCCAATGTCTGGAGAATGAATTATATTTCTGGTCATTGTTGGGGGTAAGGATATTGAGTATACCATGACTAAAAGATATGAGTGTCTACTAATAATTGAGAATTTTGAGCCATCAGAGAATAAAGAAAATAAAAAAGTGGATAAAGAATAAAAACTTTCAGGCCAGGTGTGGTGGCCCACGCTTGGAATCCCAGCACTTTGGAAGGCCAAAGTGGGTGGATCATTTGAGGTCAGGAGTGCAAGACCAGCCTGGCCAACATGGTTAAAACCCAGTTCTACTAAAAATACAAAAAAAAAAAAAAAAAGTAGCCAGGCATGGTGGCAGGTGCCTGTAGTCCCAGCTACTCAGGAGGCTCAGGAGAATTGCTTACACCTGGGAGGTGGAGGTCGTAGTGAGCTGAGACTGCACCACAGTATTCCAGCCTGGGTGGCAGAGTGAGACTCTGTCTCAAGAAAAAAAAATGAAAAAATTTAAAGAAGCATGGGGAAATCAGTGGCTTTGGGCATCTAGGAGTCTTGGGCATAAGCCATTTATCTCATATTTTCTTCTGCTTCTGGACCAAAACACTCAGTCAAAGGCAAATGTCCAAGTGATGAAGACAATGGTATCTGATATGGTTTGGCTCTGTGTCTCCACCCTAATTTCATGTTGAATTGTAATCCCCACATGTCAGGGGTGGGAGGTGATTATGTCATGGGGGCAGATTTCCCTCATCCTGTTCTCGTGATAGTGAGTGAGTTCTCATGAGAGCTGCTAGCTTAAAGCATATCTGATATGGTTTGGCTCTGTATCCCCACCCTAATTTCATGTCCAATTGTAATCCCCACGTGCCAGAGGTGGGAGGTGATTGTATCATGAAATTATGGGGGTAGATTTCCCTTATCCTGTTCTCGTGATAGTGAGTTCTCATGAGAGCTGCTAGCTTAAAGCATATCTGATATGGTTTGGCTCTGTATCCCCACCCTAATTTCATGTCCAATTGTAATTCCCACGTGCCAGAGGTGGGAGGTGATTGTATCATGGGATTATGGGGGCAGATTTTCCTCATCCTGTTCTCTTAACAGTGAGTTCTCATGAGATCTGATGGTTTAAAAGCATGGTGCTTCCTGCTCACTCTCTTTCTCTTGTTCTGCCATGGTAAGATGTGCTTGCTTCTCCTTTGCCTTCTGCCATGATTGTAAGTTTCCTGAGACCTCCCAGTCGTGCTTCCTGTTAAGCTTGTGGAACTGTGAATCAATTAAACCTCTTTTCTTCAGAAATTACCCAGTCTCAGGTAGTTCTTTATAGCAGTGTGAAAATGGATGAATACAGTATCCATACATTTATTCTCTCTAGTATAAATGGTCCTTTACTGAGATTCTTTAGCTATTTTCTTTTAGAAAACACATTTTCTTAGTATCTCCGTCAGTACTCTTAAAGATGGATGTTTTGGCCACAAGAGAGGGAAACTCCATCACAAGTACCAAGAAACAGTTCTGAGCTCATGTTCTGTGTACTTAAGGTCAGAACGGTATCAGGGCAAACACACGCTGCCTATTTGAATACACAACATAAAAGAAGGGCAATCCATAATTCATTAATTTCCCCCCAAACACACTTACACCTGCAGACTTCCTGGAGGTTCACTTCTTTCCCTTCCTTAGAGGGAGTGTCTTGAAGTACCAGGACTCTCAAGCACCTGGAGGCCAGCAACTGCAGATGTCTGCCTGAAGGCAAAGATTTGATTGTGTTTATGAAATCAGCATGGTATGTCCTAAAAAAAACAATGATCTACAGAGATTATAAAGCTAGAAGTGTTTTTAATTCTGAAGATATGCAAACTGCATGCCTACAAAAGATTTGGGAGATTCTGAAACAAAAGTATACACTGATTTTCAAATGCATCCTATCAAAAAGTAGAATTTTGGTTGACATTAAGGGTTTGGTTTTATGCACATTAATTTTATGTTGTGTGAATATAGTAAGAGAATCTATAATGATTGCAAATGTGTCTTCAGTAGAGAAGAAAAGAAGGCTCTTTATTTCTGTACATTCAGATTCTGTATAATTGTTAATAGCCCAAAATTGGACCCTGAATTTTCCTCAGAATTTAAACTATCAGGTTTTTAAAATAAAAAATTATATTATTTACTTTAATAACACCTCTAAAAATGCCTTGGTTGCCTAAAATACATCAAGATTTAGACTAAGTAGAACTATTAAGTGAATTTCCTTTGATTAATAAGTTGTTTTTCCATTTAAAATAAAAGAGGAAAGCACAACTGTTTTCTTAGAATTAGAATCAGCCAAGATGTTTGTCTTAAAACCTGTTGGGTTTGCCTATCCCTAATTGTTTCTTTCTGATTCACCTATACTATTGCTAACAGACCTGACCATTTTGCCCAATTACTACAGCTGTACTGCTCCAAGTTAGACTCTATGGTATTGTGTAAAAATTAAGCATTTAGCAGACTTAGTCACACCACATAATTGCAAAAGTTCTTAAGTCTAGGTCAACTTGAACAAGTTTGTTCTTGATTTACATGCTACCTCCAAAAATATGTCAAGGTATTTATTTGCTTTCAGAATAGCTTGCATCTCTCTTTCAGAGGTGAGGTGAGGCAAACATAGGTTGTGATGATGGGTGATTGCCCACACACGTGCAACTATGAGAACTGATTTTTTGGATTTGGGTAACACCAATTTAAAATTTTTAACCCTTGCGATCACTTATTGTTTACCAATACCATCTTCTTGGCTTTATTCAAAATTATTTTCTTTATTTTCTTAAGGCCAAGAGCCAGGAGGTCAACCTTCTGCCCCTCTGACCAGCTGCATGCAGGTAATTAGACAGCAGTGCCCCTTTTAAACACAGGTTTGAGCACAGTGTAATTCTCAGACTTATCTGGATCTGAGGGTTATCCTCAAGAATCTCTTGATTCATACTATAAGATTCTCAGAAATATCTACTGGAAAAAAACTTCAGACTCTGAGCAGCTATCACATAATCTCTTTCACCTGTTCAAACCACCATGTTGTTCACAGAGGTAGGGAGACACAGCAGAGGACCGATCCGTTGTTATTTACGTTACTCGCCATCAGGAGAACTAAGAGGCATCAGGCAATGGAGCAGTCCAATTCTATTTTTACTGAATTCTGAACACTGCTTCAGCCAGGTTTTTTGTTTTGTTTTGTTTTCCTACTGCTGTTGATAGTGCTTTCAGTTAACTTAGGAGAATGAATGAATACATATCTATCCAACCAATAATGTGACGTATTCAGAAAGGAACCTATTTTTTAAAAGACTTGCTCTATTAATTCAGATTTATCCATACACTTATTATAGGACCTGGAAACACAGGTAAAGATGCAGATTGAGATGATTAAATAATGTTTTCAGGCTTTCTTTCCTCCTCTCGCTGGACTGACCAGCTGCTCTTGCTCTGTGGGTTAGTAAAGCTGACATTCGCTCCTGCATTGTGCCTTGTGTTGGGGAGAGCTGAGGCTGGGGGGTGAGGGGCAATGGGTATGAGTTGATTGGACCACTTTTAGACCAGACACGAGAGAATACATATACTTGTGTTACAGGAAAGGAGTCCGATCCATACCCTAAGAGGGGGTGCTTGGATCTCTCACAAGAAAGAATTCAGGGTGGGTCCACAGTGCAAAACAAAAGCAAGTTTATTAGCAGCGGAATGAAAGAATCGCCACTCCATAGACAGGGAAGCCCTGAAGGCTGCTGGTTGCTCATTTTTATGGTTATTTCTCGATGATATGCTAGAGAAGGGGTGGATTATTTATGTCTCCCCTTTTAAACCCACATAGGGTAACTTCCTGACCTTGCCATGGCATTTGCGAAAAGTCATTGCCCTCGTGGGAGTATAGTAGTGAGGACGACCAGACGTCACTCTGGTGGCCATCTTTGTTTTAGTAGGTTTTGGCCAGCTTCTTTACTGCAGCCTGTTTTATTAGCAAGGTCTTTGTGATCTGTATCTTGTGCTGACCACCTCTCTGATCTGTGACTTAGAATGCCTTCACCACCGGGGAATGCAGCCCAGTAGGTCTCAGCTTCATTTTACCTATTCATAATGGAGTTGCTCTGGTTCAGACACCTCTGACACTTGTTCACCTCCAGAGAGGATGTTGAGGAATAAGTTTCATATACAACTCAGCCTTATTCAGAGCTCTTTCATGTCAATCCTGAAAGTGGAATTTAGAAAATTTAAGAGGTAACCGCCTATGACCAGTTCATGCCCTAAGTGGACTGAGTGCTCTCTAAGAATAGACCAAAGCTTTTTTTTCCCCCTGAACAACTGATTACTGAGCAACCAGAAATAAAATGTTGTCAAGCTAGCCTTGAATAGAAAACTAAAGAAGTTCTAACCAGGATTTCAGAAACAGTGTCTTTTTAAGTGTGAGCAACAGCGAGACCAAGTGGCTTTGCTATGAACTCAGCCACTCCCAAAGTCACACGGATCTATAGATAACAATCCAATCCTTCAGGCCTCAGCCCACCAGCATCTAGTCTCCCCACTTTCATTTAACCTCTGTTTTTTCTGCCAGAGTTATCTTTCTAAAATTCTAGTCGAGCCATGTTATTTTTCTGCCTTAAAGTGTTTGATGGGTGTCCATTCACATAGAAGATAAAGTCAATCCCTTCAGTTTGGCATTCCAGGTCTTTCCTTATCTGAATCTAGTTGAAGCTTCCAGGCTCTTGTCTCCTGACCCAGCTTGCCCTCAGCCACATGATGCTCTTCACTATCTCCTGAGTAGACCCCCTCTTGTGTGCGGTCCTCTCCATGTGGAATGCCCTTTGTCTACCAAGGTCTACATATCTTACACAGCTCTTCTAGGGAGTTTTTCCCTTGTCTAAGTTCTTCCCATTTCTACTCAGAAAGAAAAAAATCAATGCCCCTATCCTGAACTCGCTGCATTCTGATAATTAGTCATGTTCTCACCAGTCCATGCTACCAAGCTGTGAACTGAGTTCCTTGATGGAAAGGATAATGTATTACTCAAATTTATCCCCACAGTTTCTGGTGCAAATGTAGCATATAACACACAGTTAATAATTATTGACTTTTGTTGAATTGTTGGAAACAGTAGGTTCGGGCAGGATATAATGCAGACGTTGAGTGATAAGAGTTTCAAAATATTTATTTGTTTTTGGTTCCCATTACTTAATCTGCTAGATTAGCATTGTCCAATAGAAACGTAATGTAAGCCACAGATGAAAGTCACATATATGATTAAAAATTTTCCAGTAGTCAACCTTTACTTTTATTTCATCCCATAATCTCTCCAATTTTCTATTTTAAAGATTTTTTGTGTTTTAAGCTGTTTATTATATTTTATTAATTATTTCAAATATACTTATTTTATAGTATCTTCTGCTAGAATTACTTGTTGAAATTCTTCATTGTCTAGTTCTGCTGGCATGATGCCTGCAGACTTTTGCCTACAGTGTGTCAGAATTTGAGGACTGTGAGCTTCTTTTCAGCCTGCCATTAGTTGTGAGAATCCTGTGAAGTTTCAGGGAGGATTTGATTTACTTCTGCCAGGAACCCATTTTATTGTTAACTTCTTAGCTTGCAGTGGACTCACTTAAAAATAATGCGACTTTAAAAATCTATTGTATGTCAGGGTAGATCCATGACTAAACATTTTCTTTACCCTATGGTCAGTGGTTTGCAGTAAATTAGCCTGTTAGGGTTTTTTCACAGGTTAAATAAACTGTAAAAATTATGTATTGCTCTTTTTTACTTTCTTTTTTTTTTTTTAAAGAGATTGGCTACTTAAGAATTCTGGATGATAACAGAAAATAAGATTTATAAAGATTAAAGTACTATAAATGTATTAATAGAAATTTTTAAGTCACATTAAAATATATAAAAAAAAGTAAAATTAATTTTAATAATATAGTTCACTTAACACAATATGCCCCAAATATTATTATTTCAACATGGCCTGAACATAAAGGGATATTTCACTTTTTTTTTCTTTTACAATTGTTGAAATCTGGAGTGTGTCTTTCACATCTCAGTTCAGACAAGGCACATACCAAGCACTCAGCAGCCTTGTGTGGCTCATAGCTAGAGTTGTGGATGGCATAGCTCTGGAGATTTTTACCTCCATTCAGGACATTGCTGGGTGCTCTATAATAACTGCTTCAAGGGACAGATGACAAACCAGAGAGGACCAAGGCTTTTTTCCTGGTTTTGAGTTCCAAATTCCCAGGGCCTCCATGGGGGAAAGAAAGCCCCATTCAGAGGAAACAGACTTGGTAGAAACCTTATGATGGAAAAAGAAGGCTTACTGTGGCATCTTCACACCCCACTCTGCCCCTAAATGAACACAACTAAGTGCTTTCACTGATGCATACAAGTGCACAAGTACATGCAAGCAAAGACCCCCTAAAGCAGGGAGTGGGGAGCATTTAAGGGGAAGCAGGAGGTGAACCAACCATGTGGTCCTGGAGAAAGAAGGACTCATGCCTCTCTCTCTGTCTCTCCCTCTCTCAGGTTCAGAGTAGGGGACAACTGAAATCCAAGCTGGCTTTGGATTTGAGGATTTGAGAGCAATGAAGGCCTGGGTCTTTTTTCTCAGGAAGAGCTTAAGGAGTGGGCAAGTAGAAGGCTCTATGAACTGTGTCCATGCTGATGGACTTGAGATGGCCTCACAGAATTTCCACAAGTCCTGCAGCATTATAGTTACTCATATATACCCACAT